TGTTTTTATGTTGTATTTTAATGAATTTTTATCTTGTTGTAAACCACCCAGAGTCGTTTCACAAGATGGGCGGTGACAAATTTGACGAATAAATAAAATAAAAAATAAATAAAAATTATGGAGAATATGGAGACATTTTAGCAAAAGGAATATTACAACTGTTCTATTATAGCTAATACTCTAACAGTAATAGTGGTAAAACCTAATGCTAATAATGGGTATTATGCATAAATATGTCACTGTCTTATGCACTGTTGTTTGCAGTATTAACACTACTAACAATGGGAATTCAGTTGCAACGTTAAAACCATATGATTAGATTTCACATATCTGGAAAATACAAAACAGAACAATCCCTGACCTCAGTGGCCATTCCAGTGGCTTTGACAGAAATCAGGTTGTCTTGCCCCACATTTATCTGAATTGCACCTGAGGTAAAGATAGTGAATTTAATATTTTGTAACATTGCTTAGTCTTGTGAACTTTTAACTATGTTACGTAGTTAATGAATTACATTTACAAAGCTTGCATATGACTCTGTGTGTGCCCTGGAGAATCTGTCTGCAGCCTGACTGCTGGTTATTGAGAACCTTCCCTATTGGAGGAGAAGATAAAAGTGTAATGAATAGGCCTGGGTGTGCTTTGAAAGTGGTTCAAAAGACGTGGTTTGGACTGAGCAGGAGCACAGTGCCTCCCTGTTGTTCGTTAAAGTAACAACACCTTTTTTTCCCCAGGCTCGAGTCTTTAGTTGAGTATTCAAGTTTACTTTCAAAGTAGTGACACCTCTTTTTAGGGTCAGGCAGAAGAGTGCTGTGCCTAGAAGGGTGCTGTGCCCACCCTTTGCAGTGTCCAAGGCACTTGTTTCAAATCATTTTTGAAACAGTCCTAGTAAAGAATTCATTTCTTTAGCTCTTTTTTGAGTCTTTTCCCAAGAGATAGGGGGAAAATGCTGATTGCAGCCAGCACCAGACCTTAGCAACTGAAGTTTTTTAGGTTTTGATGGCATGTTCAGTTTTATAACTTTTTGCGATATTATTTCTTGGTGCTTTTTTATGTTGTGAGCCATTTTCACTCTTGGTCAACTTAAGTCAGTCTCATGTTTCTTTGTTTCTAGCACCTAGAATAATGTGTCGCATCCTTTTAAATGAAATCTCATCAAACCAGAGGTACCAGACATAAAATCAATGCAGGAAAATGCCCAAGATGTTCTTGATTCATTTAGGTCAATTTATTTTGATACAAGCTTCAAGGACTATAGATTTTTAGTCCTATTTCTTTTTTTTCCGCCTCATTCCTTCTCTTTTTCAGGCACCCCACAGAACAATCCCCTGAGTGATTCTGCAAGCTGATTTTTCCTTCCCCCCTCATGTTGTTTCCTCCCCCATTTGTCTAATTTAACTCCTGCTAATTTAGCTCCAGCATTCTTGAAATACTGGCAGTTATTCCCTTCAGCGTATCTAAATATCTTGTCTACAGATTGCTTAGCTCTCTGGAAAGAATTTTTTTGGGGGGTGGGGGGACAAGTCCTTTTCAGGGCCCTGTTTTTATACTAGAAGCGTGACATCCAGTGTATAAATCTTGTATACTTTTGCTATTTTGGTGATATGCTAACTATACCCCCTGCATCTGTCTGCATATTTTCACATCTGCAGTACTGTGTACAATCTACTTAACCTCCATGTGTTCTTTGTCAGTAGAAAGCAAATCAAGTAATTTGAGGAAAGAAGCAGAGTCCAAAGGAATGCTCTCTCCTAATACGGAAATAGAGTGAGGGGGTTCCTATAAAGCAGTGTTTCTCCACCTCTGCGCAAATCACAAGAGA